GGAGAAGCTTGAGAATCCAGAGGAGAGCCACATTCATGATTAGAGGTCAGGAAAACAGGCCTTACGATGAGAGGCTGAGAGCTATGGGACTCTTCAGCTGGGAAAAGCACAGGCTCAGGGGGAACCTGGAACCTGGTAACCTGGTAACCTGGCCTATAAGTATATAAGGGGTGTACATCAGGATCTGGGGGAAAGCCTGTTCATCAGAGCGCCCCATGGAATGACAAGGTCAAACAGTCACTGACTTCCCCAAGACCATTTCAAGCTGGACGTAAGGAAGAACTTTTTTACAGTCCAAGGCCCCAAATCCTGGAACTGACTGCCGCCAGAGGTGGTGCCAGCACCTACTCTAGACTCCTTTCAGCATCAATTGGATGTCTATCTTGCTGGGATCCTGTGACCCTAGCTGACTTCCTGCCCCTGGGGCAGGGGGCTGGACTCGATGATCTTCCGAGGTCCCTTCCAGCTCTAATGTCTATGAATCTATGAACTCAGTACCCAAACAATTGGTATTAGTACATACAGTTTTTATTGGTTTATTGGTTTTATTAGTTAACTGATGGAAACAACCCTGTGAAGCCCAATTTACAAATATCCACATCAATGTGAGGAATCAGTGTATGGTATGTAAGTCTAATTATCTTTCTGTAAAATAACTCATATTTGAAAATTAAATTTATACTGGAGTTTAACATGTAGAATTTTTAAGTATTATTAAGTATCCTCTAAACCTCAATCAACTTTTACAGAAATCAGAGTTGAAAGTAGTTTGGGGTGTGTGCTGAAATGTATTACAGTCTGGTTACACTGCTCCAGGGTGAAATTTGGATAGGAACTTGAGTTTTCAAGCTCTGAAGTAGTGAAGGATGTTTGTGTCACTGAGCTGATAGGCTTAGTGAGTTTAAGAGCAGGGATCTTAGCTCACCAGTTGCTGTGCCTTTTTTAACAATAGGCTACGAAGTGGCACTGCTAGCTGCAGCATCCACCACTCTTCCCCTTAGCCCCCAGGCTGGAAGACAAGTTCTCCAGTGCAGTCAGAGAAAGCAAAAGGAGATATAAAAAGAGCAAGGTAAAAAATGAGTCAGTAGGAAAACCTTTCAAAATTCATATAGGTCTCATATAGTATATCTCAGTGGAATGTGCACTGTAGGAAGAAAAGAAACATGTCACTGGTCTAAAACTGTCTTTTCTAATTCAATGCGTCCATGTATTGTTATAAATCTGTTTCCCAGTTACTGAAGATACAGAGACAAGAGAACAGATTTGACTCTTAGCTATCATCTCCAATAATGAAAGACTTCTCTCAGCTTTAAGCTGTCAGTATAATGAACCCCCCCCCCAAATTTAAACTAACGTCTGCATGTATCCTATAGAAAACAGTTTCTTTTCCTTGTATCCATACACCCTTAGAAAGAGGCAATGCACAGTGGAATCACTTCTGTTTAGAGAGCTTTTAAAAACAAGACTTGAAATCTATGTCACAAATCATAAATATTAATATGCCTGAATCATAATTCTAAGGTTACTATGTACTGCAACAAAAGGCTGTCTGAATTATATTTGGATTTCTTTTAAGTAAAATCTTATATAGGTATGTAATATAATTAACAAAAAAATTAAACATATTACTACTTATTGATAGTAATGATTTACGTTCACTTTCATAAAAAAACACTTGTCTATATACAAACATGTTTATACTATATATACAGAGCACTTTATTACATGCAAAAATCTATGTTTAAGATAGACTAAAGGTGGAGGCTAATTTAAGGATAAAAACATTGCAGAGATGTTATTATCCCAAAAATAAACACTATAAACCTGGGAAATTTGGGGTTAAGATTTCACTGTTCGTTATGAAGACCTTAGTGTAGCTGGCTATAACAGGGCATACTTACCATATACAAGCTCCATATTCACCATAAAAATCTCCTTTTCAGTGTATACAACATAAATAATTTGGTGTACATTTTTTATTTTCTCTTTCCAAAGGAATATTATCATATTGAATATACATAGTTTAGTAGGTTAACATCACTGCATAAACAATGAACTATCCATGAGCACTGTATCAAAGTAGAAACAGACTACCTCCACAGTAACATCTTTGCAGCTGACAGCAAAGGAATGTATTTTTGCCTGATGACTAGGTCACAGAGCAGACAGCT